ACGTGGTCAGATGCACTTCAGAACTTCTTTCTCTCAAGGGAGCTATAGATTGTTGAAGTGATGCAGAGCCAACCTTAAGTAATTGGGCCACAAAGTGGAGTCCACGACATGAGCGTGTGGAGAAGAACAAACCATAGACCACCTATTACAATGCAGCCTGAGTCCTGCCACATGCACAATGGGGGACCTTCTTATAGCAACACCAGAGGCACTCCAAGTGGCCAGCTATTGGTCAAAGGACATTTTATATAATACCAAGTTTTTAAACTGTGTTTTCTCAAACACATCACAACTGATACGATAAAAAAATAGTTGAAGTCCAAATTTCTCAACAAAAAAAGAATACCTCCAAAAATACACCAGTGGTCTGAGCAAAGATGAAGTAGGTTGAAAAAAAAATCATTTTGCCTACCCTCACTCAGATTATATAATATCCCTGTATATTTTTCTACAAGGCTTCATGAACAGCAGCAGAAGAAACCAGCTACAGGAACTCTGCTTCTTGTGTGCACACACTGGGCTCAATATACTGGAGTAGCCACAACAACAATAGAATACAGTGTATGTTCAGACTTATTGTCTCTTTGCAAGGGTCTCTACAAAATACAGAGAAGCACAGATCCATAAGAGTATTTTCCATATATCTCTCTGTATGACACATGCCAAGAAATAACCCTTTGGAAATAATTCTCTTGTAGTAAATATACTCTGTATATTTGTGAATGTGCGTATCTATCTATCTATCTCCATCTTCACACAGATTATCCTCAAAATTGAATGCAGGAGACCTACTAACTTTGTTCAAAGAACACCAATAACAGGAGCATATTGGCAGATTTTCATTTACCAATTTATAATTGACTTGAAGAAGATCTCGAACTATGTTTGGAAACCATAATTAGAAAAGTGTTTTGTCTCCCCCAGATTAATACATTGTAAGAATAAACTCCCAGGAGGTAGTAATGTCATTCTATGGCTAAAACACAGATTCCTTTGACACTAGTCTACAGTGGATTAAAAAAATATATGTTTAAATATGAATTATATTCCATAAACTTTTACTTCCATGATTTATAAACACTTGAAAAGTGGAGGAATAGATTTAGAGAAACCAAACACGTTTAAAGAAAGGTATTGGAGATATTTGGAGCAAGGCTGCATAGATAAAGATTGTGAAATAACAAGGTCAGGACTTTAAAAGTGATCTATCATCTAACATGAAAGATACCCAAGGACAGAAAGATAGATGCAAATAGCACAGTTGCAGTTTTTACACACATCAGAAAAACCAACCTCACTTCTTCGAAAAGCAAACCAGTTGTAACTTCTGTATTTTCAAATACAGATAGACTATCCCTTCTCCAAAATACTTGGGCCAGAAGCAGTTTGGATCTTGAATTTGTATGGGCTTCAGAATATTTTGTTGTTGTTCTCCTTCGTCATTTACGACTTATGGTAACCTAAAAGCGAGCCTATCATGGAATTTTCTGGAGCCAAGAGTGTGTGACTCAGTGCCAGAATGGGTTTCCATTTATGAGTGGGGTATCAAAGCCTAATCTCCAACACTCAAACCATTATACCATGCTGGCTCTTTAGAATATTTGCACATGTGGAAAGTTTTTAAGAATGGGCCTGGGAGTGCTGTATGGGGGTTTGAACTGCTTGTTACTTGTTTTAATGAGATTTTAACTAGGTTGTTTTTGAAACTGTAATATTTAATTCTATTTAATTTTTTTTATATTTTGTAGATTTTTAATTTGTATAGTTGTGAAGGCTGTCAGCTGGGTTGGGTCACAGTCAGACTCCTAGTTAAGAACAGGGGGTGACACAACAGGAAGTGAGAGAAATTTGTCTCTAGGAAGGAAAATTCACTCTTGGAAGAGTTATCGTGTGGAAAAGGTTTCTCCACTGAAGCTTTATCACCAATTCTTGTTTCTACAAAAGTCAAATTTTGCAAAATCCCTTGAATCGGGAAAGGCGAGGTTAACTCTATTACTCATTTCCACCTAATGCTAAGGGAGCCATTCAGGTCCTAAAGCAGTGCCTTGCAGCTGTAATGAGGGCTAACAGACTGAAAATCCAGACAAGCCAGAGGTCCTCTTGGTCAGTTCTGGGACCAATTGGGGTGTAGGGTGGCTACCTGTGCTTGACGGGGTTACACTCCACCTGACGACACAGGTCTGCAGTTTGGGTGTCCTCCTGGATTCAGCACTGATTCTTGAAGCTCAGGTGTCAGCGGTGACAAGAAGGGCCTTCACACAATTAAACTTATCCACCAACTACACCCGTACCTCGAAAAATCTGATCTGGTCCACGCCTTATTTACATCTCGGATGGATTACTGCAATGCACTCTACATGGGGCTGTCTATGAAGACGGTTCAGAAACTGCAATTAGTGCAGAGAGTAGCAGTTAAATTTCTAAGGGAGCTGACTATAGGAAACGCAGTACTCACTTGTTAAAACAGCTCCACTGGCTGCTTGTGAGTTTCCGGGCCCAATTCAAAGTGCAGGTTATCACCTACAAAGCCCTTTACGTCTCAGGTCCACCTAATTTGCTTGACCGCGTCTCCCCCTGTGAACCAACTCAGGCCTTAAGGTCCTCTGGGGAGGCCCTTCTCACAGTCCCACTGTGGGAATGAAAGAAAGGGCCTTGGCGGTAGTGGCCCCCTGGCTTTGGAATTATCTCTCTAAAGAAACCACACAGGCACCCTAACTAACTTAGTAAAGAATTAAAAACCTGAACATGGAAGCTGGCTTCCGAAAATAGTGGATTAATTTTCATTATGATGGTGGTCTTTTAGCCTTGACAATCAATACCTATTGATTTTAAAATGTTTTGCTCCATAGTACAATATAATAAATAATAATAGTAATAATAATAATCTTTATTTATATCCTGCCACCATTTCCCAAAAGGGACTCGGGGCAGCTCACAAGGAACTATAAGTGCAGTATATAACATAAACGGTACATGAATATAAAACAGTATCATATAAAGTTATAAAAAAAGTACTATTAACACATAAAATAAAATAAAAACAAAGTTTAAAATGCAGACCGTCTGTAGTTAAAACTAGCTGCTTCAAGTCACAACTAATGTACCAAAGTTGTGGGCCAATTTGAGCCTACTCAAGGCCAAAGGCCTGCTTGAAAATCCATGTTTTAGGCTGGATCGGAAGGAGTCAAGGGTGGGGGTAATGTAATTTCTTTTACAAGAGTATTCCAAAGCTGGGGAGCCACCACCAATAAGGCCCTCTCTCTCATCCCCACCAACTGTGCCTGTGACAGTGGTGGGACCAAGAGAACGGCCTCTCCTGCCAATCTGAAAGACCATGCAAGATCATCATCATCATTTAATTACTTATTAATCACCCTCCATCCAAGATGCTCTAGGCGATTTACAAGCTAAAATTGTAAAGGATAAAAATACATACATACAGATATTGATAAAATTAACAAAGATCAAAAGCTCTAGTAAAAAGCCAGGTCTTAAGTGCTAGGGTAAAAGGCCCTAACTCACGAATGGCTCTCACATAGGGCGGCAAGGAATTCCACAAGGCAGGGGCAGAAATAGAAAAAGCTCTGCGTTTGGTCCTTTCCAAGTGCACTTCTCTAGGACCCGGTATATAAAGTCACGTTGGGATGGTCGTTGCGACCTCCAATGATGGGAGAATGAGAGACGGTCCCTAAGGTACGATAGACCCTGGCCGTAAAGAATTTTAAAGGTCAGAACTAGCATCTTATATAGACCACGGTAATCAGTTGGAAGCCAATGCAAATGCTGCAACACTGGTGTTATATGGCATTTCATGGGCGTTCTTGTGAGTAGCCTGGCTGCCGCATTCTGAACAATACGAAGCTTTCGGGTCGTAGACATAGGAAGGCCAACATACAGGGCGTTGCAATAGTCCAGCCTAGACGTGACCGTGGCATGGATGACAGTTGCCAGAGCCTCGTCAGATAGGTAGGGTGCCAATTGCCTCGCTTGTCGTAGATGGAAAAAGGCCTGTTTGCTGGCAGCAGCGACCTGAGCTTCCATTGTCAGCTGCGAATCCAAAACGACACCCAAGCTCTTAACGGTACGTGAAGAAGATAGGGCAGCACCATCGAAGGTGGGTAACAAATGGGTCAGACCAATTGAGCGGCCATGCCAGAGAATCTCAGTCTTCACCGGGTTCACCTTCAGTCTATTAGCACGTAGCCAGTTCGACAGAGCCTCCAGACATAAGGTGAAATTGTCTGGTATTGACGTTGCTCCAGGCTTCAAACACAGGAGTTGGGTGTCATCCGCATATTGATAGCAGTCTAGGCCGAAACTCCGAGCCAAACTAGCAAGGGGTCTAACATAAATGTTGAAGAGAAGAGGGGAGAGAATTGCACCTTGGGGTACCCCACATAGGAGGGGAGATCTTTCAGAGACTTGATCCATATACTCCACGCATTGGCTCCGGTTTCGGAGAAATGAGTCGAACCAAGATCATAGAAAGAGATGAAGTCTGGAAAATAGGTAGTCTCGCAAAACATATAGGTCTTTTACAGGTCATAACCTGAACCCTGAATTGAGCCTGGAAAATTGTCAGAAGCTGCTTCAGTAGTGGTATAGTATGTTTCCTATAGTTAGCCCTAGTTAGTAATATGTTTTTAAACGCAGTAGTTTTTAACCTGTGTATTTATTTACTGTGGTATCATTTTTTAAAGATTATAATTATTGGTGAAATATGTATGTATATACATACACACACACACAAACACATTTATAAATTTCATAAATCAAAACATAGGACAGAGCCATGGCAGTCCCAAGCGGTGTCAAACTGGGTTAATTCTGGGGTGGAGATGCCCCAAGCCACTTCCACGGGATTTAGGGGCACAAATAAGACACTTAATGGAGAGAGGGGGAGGCCTACAAAAGGAGGCGGCGGCAAAAGGCAGGCCGCAAATAATCCTGACAGGAAAAGCAGCGTCGGGGCCTAATCACGACAAGACCTCGGCCCTTACCCAGGTGAGCAAGCTCTCCCCGAGCTCGGCCCGCTCCAGGCTCTCCACGTTGAACATGGTGCCGTCGAGGGAAAGAAGGAGGAAGGAGGCCTCGGAGACGGGGAGAAGCGGCAGCGGCAGCGGCGGCGTCCAGGCGAGGCCCTCCTCTCTCTCTCTCCGGCTGCCTCCTTCCTCGCTCCTTTCTTCTTCTTCTCCTTCCCTCCTCTTCAGAGGCCAGGCCGGCCGAGCCGGGCCGGGCGGCTGTGGAGCGGCGCAGACACGTCACCGGGATCCGCCCGCGCGCTTCGGAGAGCAACGCGCATGCGCCCGCTTCGCCCCTTCAGTCAGTCAGAGAAGGAAGCAGAATGCGCATGCGCCCGCATCGCCCCTCAGAAGAAGCCGAGTCCACCACTCTGCCCCGCGCATGCGCCCGCCTCGCCCCGTTCTTCCGTCCGTCAGTCAGTCAGAAGGGAGGGAGGAGCGGAGCAGGCCTTGCTTGCGGCACTGGCGGAGGTACTTCAGGAAAAGAGGTACTGGCCGGCTTCCCCTGCTATTGGTTTCAATGGCTGCCCCTGCTCCTTCGCCTTTCTTCTTCCACTCAGGACCTTCGCTGTGGGAGTGCAGCTGCGTCTACATGCAGCTGGGCTCAATGCTGTGTTATCCTGGGACTGTGCAGTCTGTGGAGGCCTCATGAGTCCTCTTTGGCAGGCAGGGCTCAAGTCCTCTTAAACTGCCCAATCCCTTGCTTCCATAGCATTGGGCCTTGGCTGGCAGTTCAAGTGGGGTCAAGCTGCGTTCAGTCTACAGTGTGGACCAGGCCTGGGCAAACTTGGCCCCTCCAGGGGTTTTGGACTCCAACTCCCACAATTCCTAACAGCTGAAAAACTTTGAACGTTGGTGGACAGGAAAAGAGATTTAAAGATGGGCTTAAAGCTAACCTTATAATCTAGTAACCCATAGGAGCCCCCGGTGGTGCAGTGGGTTAAAGCACTGTGCTGGCAGGACTGAAGACCGACAGGTCGCAGGTTCGAATCCAGGGAGAGGCGGATGAGCTCCCTCTATTAGCTCCAGCTCCTCATGCGGGGACATGAGAGAAGCCTCCCACAAGGATGATAAAAACATCAAATCATCCAGGCGTCCCCTGGGCAACGTCCTTGCAGACGGCCAATTCTCTCACAACAGGAGCGGTTGCTCCTGACACGACAAAAAAAAATTTAAAAATCTAGTAACACTAATACATTAAATATAATGACTACAGATCTGGCCAGGGTGGTCCATGCCTTAGTCACCTCCAGATTGGATTACTGTAATGCACTCTACGTGGGGCTACCCTTGAAAACGGCCCAGAAATTTCAACTGGTCCAATGGGTGGCAGCCAGGTTGTTAACTGGTGCTCCTTACAGGGAGAGGTCAACCCTCCTGTTTAAGGAGCTCCATTGGCTGCCGTTCATTTTCCGGTCCCAATTCAAGGTGCAGGTGCTTACCTAAAAAAGCCCTAAACGGTTTGGGGCCCGCCAGGCCCGTAGCCAGGATTTCGTTTCGGGGGGGGGGGGCTGATTTTTTTGGGGGGGGTTTCGGGGGGGGGGCTGAGTCTGAGTGAAAGAGGGTCTAGCCTAGCAAACCTTTTGTATCATTACCCCAATACCCCCATGCATATGGGATATATTGAGTATGGTGATCAGATCATGATATGAATAAACATAACAGTTTAAATAATGCACCAGTAAGGCCTTTTTGAGAACCACCATGAGAATTTGGGGGGGGGTGAAGCCCCCCAAGCCCCCCCCCGGCTACATGCCTGGGACCCGCCTACCTGCGTGACTGCATCTCTGTGTACGAACCCACATGATCTCTTCGTTCATCTGGAGAGGCCCAACTCACGATCTCACCTCCATCACAAGCGCGAATACCTGGGGACGAGGGATAGGGCCTTCTCGGTGGTGGCCCCTCGACTCTGGAACTCGCTCCCCAAGGACATTAGGCATGCCCCAACTTTGGCAGTCTTTAAGAGGAGCCTGAAAACGTGGTTGTTCCATTGTGCCTTCCCAGAATAAGGAAACCCTAAGCAACATGTCCCAATCGCACTTTATGAATGATCTAGGATTGTCTGCTCGCTCCATCTCTCTCCAAATACCCATCCTAGTTAGATGTCACCTTGTCATGCCCAGCATTTTTAAAAAATTTCATTATTACAATTGGCCCGCCATAGGTTTTTAATGCGCCGTTGTGTTATTGTTACTGTTTATTGCTTTGTTTATAAGTTTATTTATTGTCTGTATTGTTGTTGTTTTTTTACTGATGTATTTGGGCTCGGCCTCTTGTAAGCCGCACTGAGTCCTTCAGGAGATGGTAGCGGGGTATAAATAAAGGTTTATTGTTATTATCATTATTATTATTGTATAATATTATATAATTACTGTTTTATTATTGTGTATTTATATATTTTAAGTTGTAATATTTTTATTGCGAGCCGCTTTGAGTCTCCATGTGCAGAGATGAAGCGGGATATAAATGAATAACTTTCTAACTGGAGCTCAGCTGTGACCAACAATGCTGTGGAATTTGGGTTTATATATTTTTCCTGGTTCCAACAGACCTCATTACCTCTGAGGATGCTTGCCATAGATGCAGGCGAAACGTCAGGAGAAAAATTGCCTCCAGAACATGGCCATATAGCCCAGAAAAACCTACAACAACCCATTAATTAGGACTGTTGTTGTGTGTCTTCAAGTCGTTTCAGACTTAGGGTGCCTTAAGTCTACAGTTTTGGGCAGGGGCCGGGTAAATGACCTTGGAAAGTTGCATCCAGCCCAGGGACCTTAGTTTGGGGACCCCTGATCTAGACTATATGTATTTTATTTTAAATTCATAGCATATTTTTCTTTATATTTATCTTTGGTTATCCCTTTCTCTCCCTTTGTATGGAGAGAAGGCAAAAAATCCAATTTAAAAATTCCTCCCCAAAGTCTTATATCAAGTATTCACCTCTTCCTGAGTTGAATCCAGCTCCTATTTCATAATCCGAGTCCCTCACATTGTAAGAGCCTCAAGTCCTGTTTTGGGAGAAAGAAGAGATATAAATCAAATAAGTCATACTACTTGTATATCTAGCCTAGTATCTCCCATTTGGACTAGTGGCAGCATCTCTCCGGAGTCTCAGGTTAGCATTCTTTTTCATCTGAATCTTTTGACTAGAAATGGCCAAAAGTGAACCCAGGACTTGTTGCGTTCAGTGTGTGCAGCCTACCACAAAGCACAGTAGATTGGAAAACTTGAACTGCATCAGCTCCACTGACAATTATTATCCTGCTAAAGCTCCAGTTTATTCCAATTGAAATTGCACAGAACAACTTTTTTCCTGGCTAGATGGCAGCCTAACTTGATCTGTTCCTGTTTCTCTAGTGACCTTTACATTGCTTACCTTGGAAATTATCATCTGAGAGTTTCTGCAAGAGCCAGTTCAGGAGCCAATGCAAAAGTAAGTAATCCTGTCTCCCAACTTCATGGCTAGAGACAGCTGCTTCTGCTCATATTGCTGTTGTCTTTGCTCTCTCTCTTTCTGATTCAGTTGATTTCATCTTCTCCCACAGAAAGTCATTTTCAGTTTATATTACTCTATAAAGCACAGATCATACTATATTAATAAATGCATGTACTGAACAGCTGAGAAACACTACTTTTTCCGCCTAGGTTTTGAGTCTGATGTAATGGCTAAAATGGTCTTTCCCATGTGTCCTTTATTGCAGCCATAAAATATGATAACTTGGAGATTAATCATATGAAGAGAGCCAGCATGGTTTGAGCATTGGACTTGGAGCCCAATTGTCAGAAGAGAAAAACAGTGGGAAGAGGTCTTCAAGGAGACAGTGATTAATGGGGAATTAGGATTCCTGCTCGGTTCAAATATGCTATTATCTGACTATGATTCATTTTGAATTCATAGGTATTCTTTGTGGGGTTGATACATACAGTTTACACATCTCTTGCTTTTAGAGGGTTTAAAACGTATTTTCATCTTAGTTTATAGCATTTGTATATAGTAACATTCTAGGTCACTTCTATATCAGGGGGCATTTATTCTAGTGAAGTTTATGGCATAATACATTCCTTAGTCTTGTGATGCACTCTTTCTTCCTTAGTTCCTTTCTTTATTTTGTTTTCTTAAGTTGACTAGCATACCTACTTTTCTGACATTCCTGATGAGAAGAGTACTATGATGAGTTAACCGCATACAATCTTGATGGCCTTTTTATTGTTACTGTGCATATTGTGCTACTTTATTTGATTTATCTTAATTTTAATTGTTTTAAATTGCATTAATGTATATTATCAAGTGGTATTACAAATGCTGAGACATTTCACAACATATTACATTGATATTTTAAGGCTCTGGTTTTGTGTCCTGTAGCATCCTCTGATGGAAGGGTTAATGTAAGTCTTAGTTCTAAAGGGTTGAGTAATCTGTAAGTAAGAGTTCATGGGTGAAAGCAATTAAGGGTGGAGGTATGCAAGAGATAGGTTGCAGCTGCGTGTTTCAAGATATAATGAGCTATCCTTGGGACTGATCTTTGGGAGAGAAGTATTTGTCTTATTTTGGTGGTAGGTGTTGCTAGTTTTCTCCCTGGTCTCTGGATTTTCTGTATCCTGACCTCTTAGAACCCTGGAATTTTGAATCTCTGGACTCTCTTTGGACTGGGTGTTTCAACTGATATATAAGATAGTACATTGGGAGCCCCCGGTGGCACAGTGGGTTAAACCCTTGTGCCAGCAGGATTGCTGACCAAAAGGTCAGTGGTTCAGATCCTGGGAGTGGGTTGTTACTCCCATCTGTCAGTTCCAGCTTCTCATGCAGGGACATGAGAGAAGCCTCCCACAGAATGGTAGGTAACACATCCGGGCGCCCCCTGGGTAACGTCCCTGCAGATGGCCAGTTCTCTCACACCAGAAGAGGCTTGCAGTTTCTCAAGTTGCTCCTGACATGAAAAAAAATGGGCCTTTGATATCTACTTGGGCTTGGTTCCAAGATCCCCCATGGATTCCAAAATTTCTGAATGCTTTAAGTCCCATTATATTCAATGGCGTTGTAAAATGGCGACCATTATATAAAATGACAAAATCAAGATTTTGCATTTTGGAATGTGGACAGGGGTGGGGTTTGAAACAATGGATTCAGAATACTTAGATAGGGAAGGCCATATTCTTGTTAGTGTACTGTTGAGGGAGGGATTTTATGTGGGGGTTTTTTAAAAAAAAAAAAGAATTTTTTTTGTTTGTTTTAAGACTAATCAAGCATGGCTTGACTGATTCCAAAATTATGCTCTAACAACTCAACAACTACAGTATACGTGAAATCTCAAACTACTTACATTTTTCAAACTGCTTACATTTTTATGTATTACTTAGGAGATACAAGATATGTACAAATATTGTTACAATTTAGAACTTTTTTGAATTTTTTTGACACGAAGTAGAAGTTAAAAAAATCAGCAAATGGTTTCTGGGCATTGTCTATTTTGAGAGCATGGGAGCTAAAAGAAGATACTGTACTGGAGGGACCATTGATATGTGTATATTTATGAATAGGCAGGTGTTCTGCACTTCTTTTTAAAACATTACATCATGTATGGCCAGATACTAGAAAAGTGGTAAAACAAAACCGTTGGCAAGTTCTTTTTCTTAAATACCATATCTATGATTAGTCAATGGTTGTGACATATACAAAGCTTTAAGTATTCAATTACAGGTGAACACAATGTCTTCCAATCACCTATATTTTCAAATAGTATGTTTTATTTTTCATGGTATATGATTGCTTAAAGCGACCTGTTTCCTAAGATCATGGAAGTGTTAATTCTTTAGATATGTGACATAGCTCTACATAGTGTTCACATGGTGTGTTTTCAAGTGGAGTATGTTTATTTTTACCCTGGAGAAGTATTAATTTTTTGAAAGATGAAAGATTTAGTTAATGTCTTTAGGGAAAATTGCACAATACAGTTTTCTTGCCTTCATTTCACAGATGCAAACAATACAAAAGGCAATTAAAGTGACTTTGAAACAGAAATGGCCTTTTAAACAGAAATTAGTTCCACAAATGCAGACTAAGAGCCAACAGATCTCCAAGACAGCAGTACAAAAGGGTAACAAGTAATGGAAGAATGCCCCATTCCTTTGTGCATGAAGAACAGAAATTATGATTTTATAGTAACAGTGTAACAGTGAAATCCCAGATGTAAAGACATTGATTTACTCCAGCTTACTCCTATGTAACTGTCCAACTTTGACATTTACTTATATCCAAAGAAATGTAGTCCAGATTTCCTTTTATTCTGACTGCCTCATTCCAATTATTTATTGTATTCAATCAGGCACTGGAAGACAGTTTTTCCCACATGAGAAACATTTAACCAGGTCTTCACAGTGTCTCAGAAGCTATCTATTATCTGCACTAACATGTTCCTTTATGAGTTAACATTCAATGCTCTTTTAAAAAGCTGTACTCAGATGAATAAAAGCCTCTGTTGTAATTAAAATGTAGTTGTTTAGTGTCTGTTTAGTGTCTGAAGGATTACTTATGGAGAACTTTCTGCCCTTGACCCAAAAAAAAAAATCAGTCTTTAAAAATATTTTTCTGAAAGCAAGAAAATTCTTTTTTGTTTTTGTTTTTTGGCCTTTCTACTTTGTGGCCTAATGTGTTAATGACGGTAAATTCTAATTGTAGTGCATCCAGGTCTACCCCCCTTTTATCAGCACTTAATAATCTGATTATGCATGTGTTCTTGAGATGCCATTGCTCCTGATCCCAGCTGCCCCTCCTTGGGTATATATTTTAATCAAGTTATGGTAAAGGCATTTTGACCTACACAGCCTATGTACAGTCTGGATGTTCCCTGTTTTTTATTATGCTTACCTTTGGTTAAATAAACAAAGGTAGATCCTCTCCCCACACAACATTATTTTTGAGTGCAAATCCATGTACTAGGCCTATTTACATCTTGTGTTATGGACACTAAGTAGATTGGAACTCAGAGTTAATTAGGGTGTTTACCTAATAAGCATGACACTGCCAGTTTAAACCAATCTAGGTTAGCTCTAAGTGCGTTGCACCAATTCTTCCAACATAACCATATTAGGGCACCATAGCCCTGTTAGGTTCAATGTTTGTACTTTGAAGCTTCCCTCACCATCATCACAGTATAGTTATCCTCTTTCACACACTTTGTTTAATCTCCATTTCATACTAGAAGGTACAAGAAGTACTGTGACAGGAGCACATATGTGAGTCCTGTGACTCTTGGAAACATCCTGTGGCAGCCATAGTTCATAAAGCTCCCAGGGTGGTATGATATTAAGAATATTCCTATGAACATAATGTAACAAGCCACCTTATGCTGAATCATTTTGTGAAAGAATGATGCTGTCAATGATTGCTAGTCATTATGGCTATACATTATAGATCAGAGGCACTGTAATACTTGTTTGGGATCATGAATAAGAAGGTGCTGTTTTGTTTACATCAGACATTTGTGCTTTCCTTAGGCATTCTGTTTGGCCACTGGTTTAAATATATATGCTCTTATATAGTGCTTTGAATGTGATTTTTCTTCTTCTTGGCAGGGGGTTGGACTGGATGGCTTATGAGGTCTCTTTCCAACTCTATGATTCTCTTCACATACTTTTATGATCTGACCATTTCTCCATCTAACTTAATGTTGTCAACACATTGACATTCGATAGAGCTTTCCCAACTCTCTTGGAGGTATCAGGCACTGTACCTGGAGCCTTCTCCATGTTGACATTCAATTTTTACAGTACAGTTGGGCCTCCACATTTGGGAGTTGTCCATTGATTTGATTTTTTTATGCTCTAAGAGTCTCTAGATCCTCTAGCACAACTCTGACTAAAGCTGTCCATAGAATTTCACCGGAAGACCTAGAAATTCATTTCGAGAACACTTTTCTAAGCACTTTGAATGCCTTCAGTGTGACTCTGTAGTCAACAACCAGTGGAAGGTATCCATACATACAGAAGGATGTATAGCTTCCTAGAGAGGCATTCTCTCAGGTTTAACAAAGTGTTTTTTAATTGTCATTTTTTCCAGTTTTACAGTGATCCTGTGCCCTTATACCAGCTTACTTTAATGGGATTTGTAGCTTCTAACAACATCACACTTCTGTGTATTTTGTGTAAATTTGAGAAATCTTCTAATTATTGACTAGAAAGAAAAACTCATATTTGCTTGTGATAAAATAAACTGGAGTCCACAAAAGCATATGTTGCAAATTTCTTTTTCTAAATTCATCTCAAATGTTAGGAAGAACTGTATTGTCAAAGGCGTTCATGGCTGGAATCACTGGGTTGTTGTAGGTTTTTCGAGCTATATGGCCATGTTCTAGAAGCATTATCTCCTGACATTTCACCTGCATCTATGGCAAGCATCCTCAGAGGTTGTGAGGTTGTTAGAAAGAACTTCCTGACAGTAGAGCTCTTTGGCACTGAAATATGCTTCCTTCTTGTCTGCTCCTTCTCTGAAGGTTTTTAAACCGACAGTGTCTGTGTTCCTGCATGGCAGGGGGTTGAATTGGATTGCCTTAGTGGTCTTTTCCAACTATATGATTCAAAGAAGTTACATAATTTCTGTATCTTTTTATGCTGGAGCAAGCTAATATGCACCATGTTAATCTGTAGTTCAACATCCCCCTTCAACAATTTTAGCCCAATCTTAGAGTTTTTAATGAGATTTTAAGGACTTGATATGTTTGTAATTATGTGTGTTGTGTTATATATGGTTTACTTAAGTTGTTTTATAACTTATTTGGTTGTTTTTGATTTGTTTATGTATTGTTGGAATTGAATGGTTGCCACTGTGTATCTTGTTGTGAGCTGTCCTGAGTCCCTTCGGGGAGACAGGGTGGGCTATGAATAAGGTTTCATTCATTCGAGCTAGCATAGCACTTTTGTTGGGAAACTGTGGGAGAGTGAACAAATCATGAAAACTCTTAAATTGGATGCTGGTTTGTAAATGATTGCTTATTGTTTACAGGCATCCCCAGATTACGGACAAAATAGGTTCTGTATGTTTGTTCTTAAATTGAATTTGTATGTAAGTCAGAACAGCTACATTTTTAAAATGTAACTTTGTATAGCATAGGGAAGGGCCAACACCCCATGTGGCATTTGTTTTGTTGTCTGTGCCTCTGTTCAGATTATTTCACCTCACTTTCTGTCCCTGTGATAATTCGATTTTGAAAAATGTGGCTTGTTGTGGAAGCAAGGATTGGTGATAAAGCTTCAGTGGAGACAACTCTTTCCCATTATAACTCTTTCAGGAGAGAATTTCCTTTTCTAGGGGTTGGTTTCCTCTCTGTTATAACTCGAGGACTGCCTGTCTATGTTCATAATTATGGCCTTATATACTAACTGAAAGAAACAGCAATCCAACTTCATAATCTTACATTTCAGAATTGTACAAAATTAGTCAAAAGATTAATGTCCTCCCCAAAATAATATGTTTATTTCAAACTATACCAATTTTAATAAATGACAACTACTTTAAACATTGGAACAATGGCATCTTAAAGTTTATTTGGAATGTGAAATAGCACATTTAAAATTAAAGTATCAACAGAATGCAAAAGGGGTGGGGGGGGGGGAATTGGCACTCCCAAATTTGAGTCTACAGCATATTACAAAGCAGCAGCACTATCTTGGGTTAAAGAGTAAGATCACCTTAGAAAACAAAAAACTGCTAATGTTGGAAAGATATGATCTGAAATTTGGGTGGCCTGCCTATTTAGTATACAGAAAAGAAAAAATGGACACTAATTTTAAGAGATATATGATAAGAAATAATATTTTAAGAATATGGATTAAACAAAGTTTCAAAATATACTTCAAAAATCCCAAATTAGGCATCACTACAGGAAGCACTGTACAAATTACAACACAAATATATATATCCTGGCCGATATAAAACCTACTGAAAACAAGATTGTAATAAGAAACTATTACAATCCCTACTGGAACCAGGCACTTGAGTTCCTGGTTCTAATATTTGCAAATTCATCTGAGATAGCAAGATAATCAAAAGTGGGTATTCAAGAACCTGATATAGAACCTCTCTACCATCTAGCCCTATCTGGTAAAAAAAAATGATAGCAGACCTCATTGCAGAAGAAGACTCAGATGTGATTTGCGCAACCATCTTAGTGGTGTACAGGGTCAACCCACGAACATCAAGTTACCTATCTTCTTTTCCATTCCTAAATTTTTGTAAATAGAACAATGTACTGAAAAATATTTTTAAAATTATGTCACTTTGTTAATTACCTCAGTTTCATTCCCAAGAAGAAAGATGATGTAATGGTGATTTAATTTGATTAATTTTATGTTGAGCTATGTGAACCTATCTGCAGATATGAAAATAATTTAAATCAAAATGCTGTGTTGAAGTGAAGATTGAAAAATGTTCCCTTCTTCTAGAGCACATCCCAGAATTTCTCAGCCCCTGAGTGTGTGAAACATTTCCTGTGGATCGGAAAAGAGTTGTATGATGACATGGTGCTGAGTCTTCCCATTTCCAGCTGAGGTAAATAGAATAAATGGATGCCGTCTGGCTTATTAGACTAAATAAAAGATTTGGACTTTTTGCATGTTTATAGTTATGTCATTTGGGACTGGCAGTGTTATCTCAAAAGTAATTGCTTTAAAGCAAAATGGATTTTTAGTATTTTTAATATTTGGTTGTGACATAGCATTGAATTGTATCCCCCTTCATTCTCTGTCATGAGTTTCTGGCAGCAGATTGGGAGGAATGGGAGTATGAGTGCTTCTAGGACACACTGCCTATCCACCTCTGAGTATGCATTTTTCATTCCTACTTTCCAGTAAGAGCACATTTGAATCCAGATTGTGTTGGCCACACCATATGGAATATTAAATTCTGCCACAGTACATCTGTACAAGCACTGAGGTGTCCCTCCTTTAGTATGTGAAATGCAGGTAGGTACATTGGTATGAAATCCATTGGTGATATGAATGTCAACTATGTGTCAAAGCACCAGTGCTTCCCAAGATGACCAATGCAGGGGAGCCATTTTTCCCAGTGTGCCATGGAATAGTACCATATTTGATAGAACAGAGTTCGAAAACATATTTCTTTTGTTTCCCCTTTTACTTGGAAACTTCAGGAGAAGCAAAAATAATGTTTCTTGTGCATACATAAATGTCTGATTATGTGTTTCTTTGGTTCTAGCTCTGGAATGGCCAGCCAGAAAACAGAAGTTCAGACTTTGATATTATATAATGATTCAATGATAGAGGGAATAAGTGACCAAGTTCTGCTGGCAGTCGTGCTGGGCTTCACATTCATTGCTGCACTGACATATATACTTTTCAGGTGAGACATAAGTAGAATGTGGCAAAAGATTTTTATAGCAGTATATATTTAAATGTGTATATTTAAAGTAAACGCAGATGCTTTCTGACCTTGGGTCAATCACACTGCGTCAGCCAAATATATCTCAGAAGATAGGTTATGATAAAACTGGGATGCGTATCCCTGTACATACATAAGGTACGCATATCCACCATGTTTAAAATGAGAAGACATTGATGTTTTAAAGAAAGCTCCACACCCTAACCTGAAGAACTAGTTATTGGGGTTTACCATTTTAATTCACACTTACACTTGCTACTTTTGATTTTTAATTAAAATAATAAAACCATTATACTGGCCCACACCTGTTGTGTCTTCCTATGACTGCTGCTAAATCTGCAAATACAACTTTATCTTGGTAATAATCATAACATTTTAACTGAAGAAAAATAAATGCAGATGTAATTTGAATATAAGGCTTAATTACTAAGATGGAAAAGATAATGATACTTATAGCTAAAGTGGTTTCTAAAAAACATTTTAAAAATATACCCTTTTTCTATGCATGGAATTTTGCTCTGTAATTTAGTCTGAATTTTGTTGTGTACTTTAATCTAAATTTTGCTTTGAACTTTAGTCATATGAAATAGCATTCTACAGAACATGATAACATTTTACCAAATTAGAATACATTGGAATTCTGAATGTGATAGACAAACATCATTGTGTCTGAATTTGCTCTTGAACTGTTTTTCTGTTAGTATTAGCTTTCACTTTGTTTGTTTTTTCTCCATAGAAATGGACATCCGGATATTCATCCAGAAAATCAGGAACTAGTGAGAGCTGTTAGACAGCAAATACAATCAGAGCAGGTGTGCTATTCTTTTCATTTCATGTTTGCTTTCATTTTTTTCATAAGTTGCATTTATTGCAAGTGATCTGTCAAACTATTTTCAGTACATAATTGCATGGTGGGTTTTGTATTCTTTATCTGCTTGTGCTCAGATCAAATCTGGTTCTCATGCATGGATGTTAGAGGAAGGAAATCATGCTTCATGAGCTGACTGTGAAATAGTTTAAGAAAATTGTGTCCCTGTTCTCTTAGGTCTGGGTGTGATTGCCAACCATATGTATCCAAAGAGGTACACCCTATATATGCAAAAGGAAGATATCAGAAGCTTTCAGGAAACCGAGCTTTTAAGGGGAACTCTTACTAGTTCTATGTGAAGAATAATTTAATAATAATAATATAATAATAATAATAATAATAATAATAATAACTTTATTTTTATACCCCGTCAACCATCTCCCCTAGGAGACTCAAGGTGGGTTACAAGGGACAAGCCCAAAAGATTATAAATAAAACACAGACAATTAAAATCGTCGGATAAAATATAAAGCAAACACAATAATAACATCAAAAATATGGCTGAAATAAAGGAGCATAGCTGAGAGTTAAAAGAAAGGGTTCTTCCTCAATCCTGCAAACTGGAGATACTAGGGATCAAGCTGTGACACTATGCATGTATCTTTATGGTGTAGTAAAACTGAACAAAATACAGTATTGTAAATACAGGGTTTGGCAGCATAACTTCCTTTTTTCAAAACTTAATAAAACCCATTGTATAATCAGAATTTTTTTTATAATGTAGGCGCATACCTAAAGTTTTGTTTTACGTAGTTTTGAAGATCAAATTAGGTAGGTGACGTCCCCATTCTCCATACACTGAGTAAACCGATTTCTGGCATTTGTCATGACTCTTGCCAGCATAGCAGGCGTTATGTTGGCAATTTCTTCCTGGATGTTGGTCTTCAAATCTTGTAGGGTCCTTGGACGGTTCACAGAAACATGGGATTTCAAAAAACCCCCCCAAAAAAATCACAAGAGACCAAATCTGGAGAGCGGGCCAGCCACTCCAAATCCGCTCGAAAAGTAGGCCTCAACGGCAAAAGCACGCTCCTCACTCTCCCAACGCATGATGGCAACTGAACTGTGTCAGCACAAAACTTTATACTCCTGCCTCTCGAACGAGACCACTAGCGCTCCGCTACGGCTTCAACCGACTGAATGGCGCGCATTTTAAAAAAGGAAGTTATGCTGTCTCACCCTGTATTAAAGTATTTTCTCTAAAAAAAAAATCAGTAGCCCAAAGAAAAAGGTCATGAATGATTTCTGAATGAGACTTTAGTTTAGCCAAGTACCTTTAAGGAAAGTATCTCATTCATATATATATATATATATATATATATATACACACACACACACACACACACACACACACACACATATCACTATGTAACAATTTGAAAAATTAAAAAATGAGTTCCTGGTTTGAAAGGGTTATTTCCTGTTTAATTGTGTGGTGCTTATTTTGAAAGTAGTTAACTCCAGAAACTTTGTTTTTGTGGCTGCCACAAACTATGTTAAATTGGTTGAGACTATGAGATATTAATTGAAAAACCAAAGCTGCAGGATGTCCCTCAAAAAAACAATGGCGTTTTCTGCAGTTTAATAAACTTTTTTCCATTTTTGATAGAATCAATTAGGAAATGACATTTATAATCATGTTACATAGTGTAATCTGGAAAGTCTGATTCTTCTTATTCCTAATGATACATTGTTTATCACGTATGTAACTCCCTATCACACATAGGGGAAAGTACTTTTATCTTTTATTTGATCATACAGACCAGCTAGGTGTGAAGTTTCTAGCAGGTAATTTTGTTTTGTGACATTTGTTTTGTGTGAATAGCTGCCATTTCTCCTTTTTTTCCAGGACAATGCAGTTAGCGACAGACAGCGTTTCTACACTGATATGTCCTGCCCAGTATGTCTGCAACAGGCTACTCTTCCCACTGAAACAAACTGTGGACATCTTTTCTGTGGTATGCAACAAAACAACCACAGGCATGCTTCTACATCATCTTTAAACTATTTTTCTGGTTGCTGTGAGTTTTCCAGGCTGTATAGCCATGTTCCAGAAGCATCCTCTCCTGATGTTTCACACACATCTTATTTGAGAATACAGAAATGGTAGACCACTCTAACAGCTACCATATCAGACTACACAGAGAAGCCATTGAAATCCACAAGCATGTGACAATTTCAACAGAAAGGAGGAAACCATGAAAATGAACAAATCTGGCTTCCAGTATCAAAAACTCTAAAATCAGGACAGTAAATAAAGAACAACACTCAAAAAACAGGGGAATTCCAGACAAGAAACAATCAGGGCCAGTTAATACTTCCCAACAAAATATCCTCCCAGGCAGGGATCAGCCTGTCTTTGAAGCTTCAAGGCCATTCAGTTCTAATCAAGGAGGCCAGTCGCAACATTCACACTTGCCTCAAGCAGACAAGAGTTTATTATCCCTCCCTGGAAATTATTCCACAGAAATATAAACCCCACTTGCATAGTTTCCAATAGATCTCGCAACTTGAGGGTGCCCATCATAGATGTGGGCAAAACATCAGGAGAGAATGCTTCTGGAACATGGCCATGCAGCTCAAAAAACTCACAGCAGCCCAGTGATTCTGGCCATAAAAGCCTTCAATGGCACATTACTTTTTTGTAGTTGACACTATTTTTATATGTATATTATAGCTTTTTTTAAATTATAAAATTGGTATCTGCAGTAACATTTAGCTTCTCAAGACATAATAAAATTACTGACTATTTGTAATAATCATATCCATTTTTAGATTTATATTGTAATTTGTATATTTACCTATGAGGATCCTGTACGACACCACCCCACACCATTCCCACTTTAAAACCAACATTATTTTGCTCAGTTCCTCATTTCTCGGGGTCCTTATTTTTATTTATTGTTCATTAGAACATTTGGATAATGTATGTTTAAGTACCCAGTAATGATGATATTTTCTTTAGGTCCCTGCATTATTGCATATTGGAGGTGTGGATCATGGCTAGGTGCAATACATTGCCCCATCTGCAGACAAACGGTAAAAATTTGATATTCTAATGTCATATTCAAGCCATAGTTGTAAAAATACTGTCCTTAGTTTTGTTTTGAATAATAGGTTGGTGGTAGATTTAGAAATCTCATTTTTTTTAACTTGCAGTTTTAAAAAGACTTGCTTATAAATCGAATCTGAACTAGAGTAGATCCACTGAAGTAAAAGGGTTTATGTAACAGATTGGCCTACTTTGAAGGGCTGGTGTGTGAAGGGCTGCTATATAAAGGGTTGGATGTAAAAGGCAGAAGTCAGGCCTAGCTTGCTAAAGCTAAGCAGAGCTGAGGGATTTGGTGGTGAAGAAGAATGTTGAGGAGTTTGAAGGGTGGAAAGAAGAGATTTGGGAACTGGTTTTGTTATATGAAAGATACATCTTTGAGGAATGATAGTTAATAGGCCTCTATAGTGTTTAGAGTGCTGTGTAGGAAGGAAGGGAGATTTCAAAAGGTTTTAAAAGATTCCTGTTTGGATTTATGTGTGTGGAACTTTGGTTTAAAGAAACTCAAGATAGAAGTACTCTTCTTTGTAACAACAAAAGCCTGAAAAGTTATCTGCAACCATTATGCTTATTGATTGTTTAAAATAAACATGTCCTGTTTTATTCCAACTGAAGTCTGTGTGTGGCTTTAAAACATTTCTGTAAAGGAGGTGGCCTATAAAAATAATAAATTGGTGGCAGTGAAAGTATTCATTAAATAATTGGAAGGAGCAAGGCAAAATGTAATATACAGTGGTGGCTTCCCACTGTTGGGCTTGTGTGAGTGAGGGTGTGTGTGCATGGATTCCCTCACGGCCTGGCCTTGGGCCAAGCCTTGTTGTTTGCCTTTTGTCCTCCATCATGTGTGTGGTGTGCCTGAGGCAAAGTCTGCCTACCGTCCCTTCATCATTTGTTATAATTGGGGGCAGTTTGTTATAATTGATGGCACCTGGTGGGCTGATTTGGTTATAGCTTACATAAGTGTTCAACCATCAAGAGCCTGTTGATTTAGTCTCTCTATTCCGGTTGGAAATAAAATCTCAAGTTAGTTTAACTTTCGGATGTTAACTTTTAATAAATTGCATTTATCTGCTTTCTCTACTTATGTGTGCCACAAAACGGTACATTTATTTATTATTATTTATTTATTTATTTCACAGTTTTGTATACCGAGCTTCTCAACCTCGTTGAGGGACTCAGCCCGGTTTACAGCCATAAAAACATATCCATTCATTAAAATATCATATATCACAAATTACACATCAACTTTAAAATACACTAAATATAAAACTACAGTGGTCAGTCGTCCTATTAAGATGGATCTATATCCACTTCCATCCAGGGTCCTATGGTGTTGTCTCATTTAAAGCCTAGTAGATAAGAACTTGTGTTACATCTTCTGCTGGGAATAATGTTTCATTATAAATGTTACATAAACTGCCGTAGCAAAAAGAACTGAGAATCCAGGTAGCATTTTGCTACATTTATTGTAACAGATGTATTCATGTATTAGATTATTGAGAGCAACATAAGTAGTCCCAAAACACATTATTACATCTTGTGCTGGAATGTGTCCAGAGGAGGGCGACTAAAATGATCAAGGGTCTGGAGAACAAGCCCTATGAGGAGCAGCTTAAGGACCTGGGCATGTTTAGCCTGAAGAAGAGAAAGCTGAGAGGAGATATGATAGCCATGTATAAATATGTGAGAGGAAGCCACAGGGAAGAGGGAGCAAGCTTGTTTTCTGCTTCCTTGGAGACTAGGACGCGGAACAATGGCTTCAAACTACAAGAAAGGAGATTCCACCTGAACATGAGGAAGAACTTCCTGACTGTGAGAGCCGTTCAGCAGTGGAACTCTCTGCCCCGGAGTGTGGTAGAGGCTCCTTCTTTGGAAGATTTTAAACAGAGGCTGGATGGCCATCTGTCAGGGGTGATTTGAATGAAATATTCCTGCTTCTTGGCAGGGGGTTGGACTGGATGGCCCATGAGGTCTCTTCCAACTCTAGGATTCTATGATTCTATGATTCTTGTTTTGTTTAGGCTATAGGTAAATGCTACTATACTCTCTTGAACCAATTTTGGACATTATTTGAGGCAAAACACCTGGTTTTCAAATTATTCTCAGATTATTGCAATGTGCTATGTATTGAGCTTTCTTTACATTTAATTTACTCCAAAACAGGCCAAAGTAGACTGTTAATTTGCTGTTGAAGCAATCATATTATACCAGTATTTCATCAGCTCTGATTCCCAATCTGGTTCCAGACTCAATTTAAATGTGGGTTTTATTTTGAATGCTCTATGTAGTTTGGGCCAGGTACATGACAGAGCATCATTTCTGATATGTACCTATGTGAATTTAGGGTTGTTGTCAAAGCGAGAACATTATCATTCCCAGTTGTCAATGAGCTCCTCAAAGAACCTCACTGGATGTCCATATGTAGTCTTTTCAGCGTTATCTAGAAACTTTAGTAACTACGTTTCAATAAATTTTTAGATCCCAGTGCTATATGATTTAGTGATTATAGATCCCAATGCAGTTAACTATTCTCTACTGTTGTTTTTGTGGCTGTTTTATTGTTGTTCTTGCTTTCTTTATTATTGTGAAGGTATAGAGAAATTGTTTCCAACATTTGGTCCTCTGGATGTTTTGGACTTCAGCTCCCAGAATTCCTGACAGTCAAGCTGGCTAGGGATCCTGGAAATTGAAATCCGAAATCCCCTGGAAACCATTGGTGTCCATTAACCATAAGCCACAGATCTAGATCCATGTAATAAATAACACTATAACAAAATTTGATTTTTTGTTTGTTTGTTCCTGGTTTGAAAGTGTTATTTTTCTGTTTAATTGTGTGGTACTTAGTTTGAAAGTAGTTGTTATACTCCATAAACTTCATTTTTGTGGCTGCCACTTTTAACCTTTCATATGCCATTTTAACCAAGTTTTTTTGCAGTTTAATTAAACTTTTCCATGTTTTTATGATATAACCAATTAGGAAATGAAATATAATCCAGCTACAAAACTCATATTACGTAGTGATGTCTGTACTGTGCATTCAGCTTGGAACTTGGGTGTAACAGGCTTAACCTTTCAAAAGTCTATTGTCATTAAATAATAATAATAATAATAATAATAATAATAATAATAATAATAATAAATATTGTCCTTAATGTATTAAATTATTGGTTTTTAATTGGTGTTGGTTATTTTCTGCATTCAGGTGACTTTATTTTTACCACTCTTCACTGAGGGGCATGAAGATGCTACACAAGTGCTTCAGGATGTCAATGATTATAACAGGAGATTCTCGGGACAGCCAAGATCAGTAAGTGTGGGAAGGGGCTCAGCAAGATTGAAATCTTTTATTCCATTTATTTTGGCAAGTGCGACAAGACTCTCTAGAGAGCATGATGAACCCCTGAAGATTATGATGGGGTGAGCTCCTGAGGTGCACGCAGCACTTCAGTATCACAAGGCAATGCAGTTGTAGGATTTACTGTCATCCACATCCAGGATTAAATTCCTAGTGGGGAGCACTTTCACCATTTTAAGCCCACGTGAGAAATTTTTTCCAAACAAAAAGTGACTAGAAATCACTTCTGACCAGAAGTCATTTCTGGCCAGAAGTCACTTCTGGTTGACTTCAAATTTTGAAAAAGGTTTTTCTTTGGCCTATAATGAGTCAAAAAGCTCTGTAACGTCTAAAATGCATTGCGGTGTAAGATGTAGGGAAAAGTATTATCTTTTGGACCTCTGGGATACTGTGATGGCCACAGAAATGGCTCTGAGGCCACACTTTGTCCACATCTGCTCCAGAAAGTGTGAGGAGCATTTCTGCCATGTTTTGGTTCTATCCTTGGCCAGTGTAAGGTCAAGAGATGACTTTTTTAAAACAGGAAATGAACAGAAAGTAACTGGCACAGTTGCTTCTTTTTTAAAAAAAATCCCTTTGTGGCTTTCAAATGGCTCAGGAAACTCCCCAAATGTGGTGAAAATGCTGCCTTTTACCTTAGGGCAGTGGTTCTCAACCTGTGAGTCCCCAGGTGTTTTGGCCTACAGTTCCACATAAATCCTAGCCAATTTACCAGCAGTTAGGATTTCTGGGAGTTAAAGGTGAAAACATCTGGGGACCTACAGGTTGAGAACCACTGCCTTGAGGCATTTAAGCAGGGAAAAGTTGATTCATTTTGTTTTTCAGGAGTGAATGCACCAGGAATACAGTCCTCCAAGGTTTTTTGAGGGGAGGAGGCTAAAGTGGCCACTTCCATAATTTCTCACCCCTGGAATTGCTATAGCCATGTTATATATGCAGCATTTCAGTTTTTGTCTACATTAGTTTGCTTGTGTATATGTTTAAAACAACCCTTTTAAACTAATAGCCAGTCGTAATCAATTGGGATACACTGTGTAATGTGTATAACAAAAAAAGCCAATTTTTGACTTTATGTATCCTCTTCAGATTATGGAAAGAATTATGGATTTGCCGACACTATTGCGCCATGCATTCAGAGAAATGTTTTCCGTCGGCGGTCTCTTCTGGATGTTCCGCATCAGGATATTCCTCTGCCTTCTGGGAGCTTTGTTGTACCTGGCATCTCCCTTGGATTTTCTACCTGAAGCTCTGTTTGGAATTCTGGGATTTTTAGATGATTTCTTTGTGGTCTTTCTGCTACTCATATATATATCTATCATGTACCGAGAGGTGGTAACTCAGAGGCTGAATCGATGAAGACAAGTGTCAGTGAGTAATATTCAGGACCATTAAGGGCAGGGGTGTTTTGCTAAATGAGCCACTATGAAGAAAAGCATCTTGACACACTTTCAGTTTCTGCTGTTCAATCGCTCCTAGCCAAACATCTTATGCAAGCATGAAGAATTGAAATCATGGTGATTAGCGAACTGGAATTTCAGTGTGTGTTATATAAACGAGACTTAATTCAATATATAATACATGCCTACATATGTTTACAGCAGATGAGTATTTGTATATTAGTCAAGGTACTGATAGTTTTTAAAAGGGATTTCTTTGGGAATGTTTAACAAGAATAGTATTTGAATGAGCTGGATACGTACTTAAGGCTCTGTTCAATGTATACTTTCATATTCAGTGTACACTTTTAAAGACTCCTTCGTTTTTCACCATGGGCATGAGAGGTTGTTTGTTCATTTGAATAAAAAAGTTCGACGTCTTTGCCTGCACAGCTAATGTTCAAGCAATACAATTTTCATAGTTAAGCTTGGACTGTGACATAATGTTGCACAAAGGTGGTAAGCACAGCATTACTTCAACTCCAGTGATGTACAATTATGTGGAGTTTCTCTCTGTCTTTGTACAGTGGGATATACACTGCCCATAGCTGAGAGACAGATCTTGAGCACTGTTTGCTCCATGATTAGTAATGACACGTGCTATGATTTTGCATTGCAAAGTTTAACACCTTCGGGTGCGGGGGAATGAAAGCTAGTTCAGTGAGCTAACAGAAAGGGATGGCCAGCTTGTGACCTAAATGTTTTTGGAATACAACTCCCCACTTATCCATAAAGATAGGCCACAGCTGCTGAGAATTGGAATTTAGCATCCAGAGCTCAACAGGTTACTCAGCCCTGGTTAGAAAATATTTGATTAAAACATGACAGGGCCCTGTAATCATAGGCAGTACTAAAAGAAACATTGACTGTCATTGATATATACCTTAAGGGGAGGAAACTGGATTTTAGAGTGAATATGCTTGAAAGAACATTGGTAATTGGGACCATGGACATCTGTCAGAGAATTTTGCTTCAGAAAAACCTGTTAGAATTATAAAATCCTGAGAGTTGGAAGATTCCTCGTGGGCCATCCAGTCCAACCCCCTGCCAAGAAGCAGGAAAATCACATTCAAAGCACCCCCGACAGATGGCCATCTAGCCTCTGTTTAAAAGCCTCCAAAGAAGGAGCCTCCACCACACTCTGGGGCAGAGAGTTCCACTGCTGAACAGCTCTCACCGCTAGGAAGTTCCTCCTCATGTTCAGGTGGAATCTCCTTTCCTGTAGTTTGAAGCCATTGTTCTGTGTGCTAGTATTCAGGCCAGCAGAAAACAAGCTTGCTCCCTTCTCCCTATGACTTCCCCTCACATATTTATACATGGCTATCATGTCTCCTCTCAGCCTCCTCTTCTTCAGGCTAAACATGCCCAGCTCTTTAAGCCACTCGTCATAGGGCTTGTTCTCCAGAGCCTAGATCATTTGAGTTGCCCTACTCTGGATATATTCCAGCTTGTCAATATCTCCTTTCAATTGTAGTTCCCAGAATTGGACACAGTGTGATTCCAGGTGTGGTCTGCCAAGGCAGAATAGCGGAGTAGCATGACTTCCCTGGATCTAGACCAGGGGTCCTCAAACTAAGGCCCGAGGGCCGGATGCGGCCCTCCAAGGTCATTTACCCAGCCCTCGCTCAGGGTCAACCTAAGGCTGAAATGACTTGAAAGCACACAGCAACAACACCAACAATCCTATCTCATCAGCCAAAAGCAGGCCCACACTTCCCATTGAAATAGTAATAGGTTTATATTAGTAAAGATTGTTCTTCATTTTAATGATTGAATTGTTTTTGTGTTTTTTGCACTAATAAGATATGTGCAGTGTGCATAGGAATCAATTCATGTTTTCATTATAGTCTGGCCCTCCAATAGTTTGAGGGACTGTGACCTGGCCCTCTGTTTAAAAAGTTTAAAGACCCCCTGATCTAGACACTAGACTCCTATTTATGCAAGCCAAAATCCCATTGGCTTTTTGGCTTTTTTATCTGCTGCATCATATTGTTGGCTCATGTTTAACTTGTTGTCCACGATAACTCCAAGATCTTTTTCACACGTACTGCTGTCAATCTAGGCGTTCCCCATTCTGTATCTTTTATTTCATTTTTTTTCTGCCTAAATGGAGTATCTAGCATTTGTCACTCTTGAACTTCATTTTGTTAGTTTTGGCCCATCTCTCTAATCTGTTAAGATTGTTTTGAATTCTACTCCTGTCTTCTGGAGTATTGGCTATCCCTTCCAATTTGGTGTCAAAGTAAGCAAGCTTGCTTTTGTATGAATATGCATAAAGCCAGGCTGCATGCCTTCTAAACATGCCACGTGATTGTCCTGAAAAAAAAAATCTGAAAAAGTCATTTAGTTAGATTGACATAGTGGTTAAAGGAGGAGATCAGGGGGATAAAGCACAATAGGAATGTCATGATTTGTCATCAAGATCCCACCTATTCATCTACTCAGACACTGGTGCACTGAGTAGGGGAAGAGGAAATTAAATCTAAATAGACTTTTTAGGGCGGTATTTACAAAGCTTACAAAATAAGAATAGATTATATAAACTAAGACAGGCATTGTACATAATGCTCCTGCTTTTTCATCAGCCATAAAGTTTGTTCTTTAGTTCTCGATATCTGGCAAACTCCTGCTTGGGGGTATTTATAGGGGGAGTGAAAGAGGATTTAACTTGTTGCTAAGATACATAGGCCTTAATAAGAGGTAGTTAATGGGATTTTCTAGAACAGATATTGGGTCCTTCTTTTTGAATGTACTCAATAGTGGTTAATATTAGCAATGCTTTTAATCATAAGTTCAATGCCGGTTTTGAATAGTGCTTTAAAGTGGTAAGTTGGCTAGGCTTAACCACTTTAAATGCAACTCTTAAATCATGTGTAATCATGAAATAAAATTCATGTCAAATGAAGGGATGTTGCCCTTTGCTGCCGATTACATAAAGGTGGTTAAGGAAGGACAGCAGAATGTGCAATTGTCTTTTAATACTAACTTTTTAAAAAAAAAGCAACAAGGTTTTCAATTTAATTTTTAAAAACCCTAATGCACACATAGCAGTTCTCTTTTTTTAAAAAATTACTTGAAAATACAGTATTTGGTCCTTTTATATTCATTGCAAGAACCTTTTTAAACAATCCTTTTGTCATCCATGTCTCTGTTTTGACATAAGGATTCTGAGTGCCAATACACAAGCGTATGCTCAAATGTATGGGTCAAGTGCATTTGAGCAATACCTTGCGTAAAGTTAGTTTGTGTTTCTCAAAATGCTTCCATTCCCACAAATGTTTAGCATGTCAGTAAATGCAGTCTTAAATCTTTAAACTACAATAGTCATAAATAGTGGCTTGGGGTGTGGGTGGGAGTTAAATATTTGACTGCCCCAACCCAGTCTGAAGCTTATGACATTTTTTTTCTAGATCTGACTTTTTAAAAAAGAAAGTGAAATAGTGACAGATAAATATACTTGATTTCTTTTAGATTGCCTCCAATGCTTTTTAGTGCTTTTTTTTTTTTTTGGTCTTGTCATCACTAGTATATCCCCTTGATGGCACAGCAGGTTAAACCGCTGAGCTGCTGAACTTGCTGGCCAAAAGGTTGGTGGCTTGATCTCCTGCTGTTAGCCCCAGCTTCTGCCAGCCTAGCAGTTTAAAAATATGCAAATGTGAGTAGATCAATAGGTACCACTCCAATAGAAAGGTAATGGTGCTCCATGCGGTCATGCCGGCCACATGACCTAGGAGGTGTCTATGGACAATGCCATCTCTTCAGCTTAGAAATGGAGATGAGCACCATCGCCAGAGTTGGACACAACTAGACTTAATGTCATGGGAAACCTTAACTGTTTTACATCAATAGTAAGTTGTAACAATTTGTTACTTCCCTGTGTAAGCCTTGTTTGATGTTTGGCCAGCCCAAACCCTTCTTTGGAGTTCCAGAAGGGAAATACAAAGGATAAAAGAAATAAAGCACCTCAGTCAAGTATATACGGTTGCATAATAGGTTGTTTTAGTCTTTGATAGTCTTCCAAAGCCTTTACTGTACATCTGAAAGAGTTGCAAAAGTAAAGATCAGGTTAAACCTGCTACATAATGCCAACTGTACTTTTAGGTGGCTGCATATTCTTATGCAATGATGCCTATGTTTTGAACTTTCAGGATTTCCGCTGATTACAGTAACCAGAATTCTTTCAAAACCTTAGTGCCCTATATCCCACCGGCACTGATTTTATTTTTCTCCTTGTACCATCAGGGAAGCTTTAGGATGTCTACCATACCAGAGGTAGTGTGAATGTGTGAATGTACCCGCAATGTTTGCTTTACTACTGATGAGTCAGCAGTATGTGATAAAGGGAAGGATAAATGCCATTGAGCCAAGGGAACCTCTGAGGTTGGCTGAGTGCTTGTGAGGTTTTAAAAGTCTTTAATATTTGACAATATAGGAAATCATGTTCTTTGCAACTATAGGGCACTTTGTAGTTTGCCAACAAAAGTATTAGTTTTAAAAAATGAAAAGGAAGTCCCATAGTTTCCTGGCTTCTGGGATAGTAGAATCAAAGATTTCAGGGATGTGCTAGGATTTTCTAATTTAGCAAGATGTCATTTATTGTCAGTATAAAGATTCCTATCCATCCTGGATTTAATTAAAATCCTTATCCGTTACTGGAGCGAGATGAAAAATGGATTTGCCCAGCAGCACTGTGTTTTTATTAGTCATTCCTGTTTGTAATTCATAATATTTTGGGGTAGCTTGGTTTTGATCAAGCAATTAATGCGCAATTGATTTTCAGAATAGCCGTTCCTGGTAAAGATTAAAACAACTAGAAGTAGTTGGTTATGGAGCAACACAGCTGGCAGCATGCTTAGGTTTTTCTTCTGCGTCTGAATATGGAAACCCACACAATGAGCACTTGTGCTTCAAAGGTTAGCACACTCCACTGTTGACAGTGCTCTGATGCCCCTTCTACATAACGTCTATATTCCAGGCTCTGATTCCAGATTATCTGCTTATCCCAGATTATCTGGCAGTGGAGACTCATATAATCCAGCAAAGCAGATTGTCTGAGATCAGATCCTGGGATATAGAGCAGTGTAGAAAGGGTCTGAGAGTTGGCTTCAAGACTCTGCAGTCCACTGCAGATAAGTATTCATGTCCCTTGTGAAAATAACAGTAGGATGGCTTATTCTGTGTTTATTTCCAGTTCTTATTCAGCACTCACACATATCCTTCATTGTTAGAATTATTTGCCTTTGTAAAATGGACATTTCTTCTTGACACATTCACAATTATTTACATATACCAGAGATACCTTGTTGATTCTTTTTCAGCTCACTTTTGTATTTAATGAATGCTGAATGTTGCAAAAGTTTATATTTCTTTTTAAAAACTGGACTAATCAGTG